ATTCTTGAAAGTATTTATCTCTTCAAAATTTAAGATTCCTGGAAGATTTTTTATTTTTTAAAGAGTATCTTAACTAATTTCAAATATATCATTACTATAATTGAGCATCTGAGTATAATGGTAATTATAAGGCTTAATACTTTTTCCAACTATCTATACTCCATTCTTTATCTTAATTCATAAATAAATTTTAATTTTGGTTCACAAACAATCGTATTTACTTAAATATTGTAATCTCTTTGATTATTAACCTTAAATAACTTTAAAGATCACCTTCTTTTTTTGATTTTAACAATATATTTTTATTTTACTATATATTTATATATCATTTTAGTTTTAAACTATATCAGAATTTTTTTGAATATCTAACGTGCTTTTTTTCTATTTACAAAAGAAATCAATATAAATTGATCAATATTATTTCATAATAATTATAAAAAAGCAAAAATTTTTATATTTATATATATACGTTAAATTGATATTTTAATTTCATATTCTTATCTATCATTCTCCTAACAATACATGATTATACATATTAATACATTCAAATGATGCTAGTTGATCTACTTAAACTATTGTAATTAGTTTTATGATATAAAATTATGTTTTCAAAGCAAAAAAAGATTTTTAAGTTCTTGCTGAAGTTTAATAACTTTTAGGTTGAAAAATGAAAATAAGCATTTTATAAATGGAAATAGTATTTTTTAGTTAATATAAAAAATAAAAAGATGCTAGCACTTCTTCTACTTATCATATTTTAAGTCCAGACATAAACAATTTAATCCAAAGCTATAGTTAAGGAATTTCCATCAGATGAAGACCTTTTTTCTATTACATTTTAAATCACATCTACAGAAAAAATAAATACTATATCTATTGATCTTAAAGAACTTAAATGTTTATAAACATCTACAGTAATTAAATCATTTATTTCTTAGATAACACCAATTTTTATTAAAAAAAATGAACCAAACCCATATTAATTTACTATGAATTTTGAAAGTAATACTATTAGTATTTATTTGGATTTTGGATAGATGGTTTATTCACAATTAGAAGTCTTATTTGAAGTCACTTAATTTTACTATCCAACTTTTAACCAAAATCTTAATTATTAAGTGAGAGTCAATAATCAAGATATAAGAACTTTCAATGTAGTTAGATAATAGAGAGTATTAGACTAATTATAAATTTCAAGTGGATCATCTATAACATAATAATATACAGATTTAAATATTGAGTTTATTAATACTTATAAAAACTATCTTTATGATGTAATTGTGATTAAATTTTATCCTACTTATGTATTTGATATAGAAATATCATCATGTATAGGAATTTAAAATATAGGAAAGGATTTAAATTGTTGGACTAAAGACACTAATATATATATTCAATAAAAGACAGAAGATTTTGTATAAAAAAGTTATTAAAATCCTATAAAAATTAAACTAATAGATTTTCTAAATCCATATTATGTTGGAATAATTAATATGGAAGTATTAATATAACCAATTCAATTTATAGATACATCAATTGTATCTTCACATGATTCTATTTATTATTAAGTCAAAAAATAGAAAAATTAATAGATAATTATAACTTAATAAAATAATTATATTAATTCAATATCATAAATAGATTTGATAATTCATACATAAAGATTTAATTAATATCTATAATTGGAAATATATCTACCAAATAAATCATCATAAGATCTCATTATTAAATCAAATGATAATAATATGTAAGTAGAAAATCTTATGAGTGTTAATAAAAGTGTATAATTATTGAAATTAATTATCAATGAGCCTAAAACTAATTATGATATTAAATTAATAGTAGAAAATTATTAAAATATTGATGTTCCTTGTTAAGAAAAAGCGTTTTACTTTTTGACTGAAATATTTGATTTTTCAGATGATTAATTATAGATTTAATAAGGAAAAGGAGTTTTAAATTTCATTCCAAATAATATATAGTTGATATCAATTGAAACAACAAACAATTATATTACTTAAAGTGCAAAAACAATTATTAAATTTGGAATTGATATTACTATAAAATAAGATTGTAAATAATTAATTTTATATTCTAGCCTTATTGTTGATTATATTCAATGAAAATTTAAATATATCAAAAATTTCAACATTGAATTAAATCATAAATGATAACACTGTCAGTTTATATGGAATATTCAATGAATAAAAATCAGAATATACAATTGAATTTGAGAATATTATCAACCCAATTGTACCATGTAAATTTAATTATTTAGATTTATAAATAATTTATTTAAATTAGGCATTTGCAAGTAATTAGAATTAAATTGAAATTGAAATTATACCTGAAATTATAACTATGAACAATTTAAATCTTGGTTATTTGATTACAAATACATATACAAATTTGAATTTAGATATTAATTTTAATTTATAACACTAATACTTCACCAATATTGAATTTACATTTGATGAATCAAATATAAATTTTAATTAACTTACTAAATAAATAGAATGTTATTTTGATGCTGTATCTTACATTTGTTAAATACATCAAAACAAATTAACTATTTTTGGACTTCGACTAATAAAAACATAAGCTCATTTAGAAATTTTACATTTCCCATATCCAAGATCACTATAATCATTAATTATAAAATCTGTCAGATAATTAAATAGTAGCATAATTTTATCAGAAACAGCAGATGTTTATTAGATCTAACCTATATACTAGAGAGAATTCAATAAATTTTAGATTTCTTTATAATCTGTCATTAAGAAATAATAAATAATACCAATGAATATTATTATTATTCCTTCATAGGATATTTTAAATTAAGAATACTTAATTTTTAAATTTGATAATTATTTGACAATCGAAAGTGATTCATAATGCTAAATCAATAATGATATAGTAAATATTTAATGTGAATTCACAGATGGATAAATTAAAATTTTAATTAAAAGTGGAACTTTAATTCATAGTATGAGTTATAGTATACTAATAAATAAAATAAAAGTAATTAGAGATTATCAAACTTTATAATTGAGTGCCTTCACTTAAAACAATTATCTATAGTAGTAATCATTTTATCAATATAAGATTAAATAATAATCATAATCAACTGAATTTGTTGATTTTACATTTGATCCTTTAAATATTGATTTTTCTAGCTAAAGTAATTATAATTTATTTTTTGAAAATGCAATTAATATACCTATTAATGGATATTTATAATTATCATCCACCTAATTAAGTATAGACTTTTTATAAGGATAAGTAATTTAAGTATCTGGGGAAGAAGATATTTCTTATACAAAAATAATTAAATAAAACTAAAAATACAGTTTATAATTCTATTTCAATAAAGAAGTATATAGTGGAATGCATCTATTTAAAATGTAAAATATTAGTAATCCACTTTATTAACAAAGAAAAGAGTATTATACTTTTGAATTATAAAGTTATGATTAATACAATAATCTCATAGAATTTAAAGAGTATGATCTTTATTCCATTTTTATATGCCCTTAATCAAAATGTTAAATTTGTAATTAATAAGAATTTTGTGATAAATGTGAAGCAGATTATATATTATATCAAGGTTAATGTTTAAAATAATGTCCAACTAAAACAGTTTTGATTGATAATAAATGTTAAAGATGCAATGCAGGTTCAAGTTGTTTATAATGCAGTGATATTGATACTGTTTTATGTCTTAGATGTAATGATGGTTATGATCTAATTAATGGATTTTGCATATGGACAACAATATTAAATTCAACTTAAAATGTAAATTCATCAAATAATACTTCTAATGATAATATTCACAATGATACTACTATTTTAACAAATAAAACTATTTAATAATAATAATAATAAATTTATGATATTCATATATTTGCAATTATTGTATTATCATTTGCAATCATATTTATATTAAGAAATATATTTAGGAAATAAACAGATTTTAATAATGCATTATTAGCTTTTACTGGAATTTCTGATTTTGTTTTATAATTTATCCTATTTGTTATTATTATGATAAATTATACCATATCTTAATCTATTATTTCATTGACTTTATGTTTTGTTACAATTATTTAACAACTTTATGCTTATTAAACAATTAAATTGCCATTATAAATAGATATTGTTTATTAAAAATGTTAAGATAGTAGTAGGATTGCTAAAATAATTAAATTTTTTGTTTTATTTATTGATTGGAAGACAATTTTTATTCATAAATCAGGGATCACTAATTCATAACTATTTTCTATTCATTTTTAAGGTGAAATCAAACTTAAAAGATTATTTAACTTTTTGTTTCTTGTTAAAATTGTTATTAATATAACTAATTTAGCAATGTTAGGAGTAATTTTAATTTCATAAAATCAAATAGCTTAATTAATATATGAATCAATTTTTTATAATTTGGCTATGATTATCATTTAATTAAATAAGATTTATGAAATTAAGAATTCTTTGAAAAATGATATACCTATTGATATAATGACAGATAAACTGAATCAAGATAATGAGAACTAAAATTAATTTAAAAACACAAGCAAAGTTACTCCAGAAACAGTCATTATATCATAAAACTGATTTTTTTTTTTTTATTTATTATAAATTATTTATATAATTAAAACAATTTAACGAACATAGACTTTAAATTTAAGTTAACATAAAAAAAGATATGAAATTAAGAATAATAATAAGAGCACAAATGTTATATTTTAAAAATTTAAGAAAAAATAAAGATGATGATCTAAATTTCTTTAATAATTTTTAAGTAAAAGAGAGATCAGAAGAGAATAGTATCTAAAAATCATGAGAATAATGTATAATGAGATTGAAAAATATATGTAGCTTATTTTTAAAGATACATGAAAAATAAACTTAAATTCTTAATAATTTTGAATATTCATTACACTACTTAAACTTTGTATCTATAAAAGCATAAGTTTATTAGTAAAATTTTATTATTTAGATTAATGAAATAATTAAATCAATATTAGACTGAAAGTTTGACTAAGATAGGTAGAGAAAATATAAAAAACAAACTTAAATGTTTGATTCCCAATTATAATAACTAGAAATTAATTGTTAATAAAGAGAAGTAAATCAATCAGAGTTCAACCAATACTCATGATAACTCAAAAATTAGTGTGTTAATAAAAGAAACTAAATAAATGAATCTCAAAATTGTTAGTAAAAAATGGTTAATGAAAAAGAGACTTCTACAATAACAGCTTCCTATATTGGATCGACCATAGTTTGTTATTAAACCTTAGATTATACTAAAATTATTTGTTAATTGTTAAACAAAACAAAAACATTGAATTTCCAATTATTTATTAATATAATAAAAAATCATAAATCAAATTTAATTTATTTTTATTAAGTATTTTAATTTATATTTTTACTCAAAAATTTATTTAACCTTATATAAACTAATATCCTATTTTATTTAAAAATGTTATGTGGATTTATTATTAAAAAATAAAATATAATTCACTAAATATTCTTGATCTAATCATAACAATCCAATATGTATTCAAGTTGGATATTTTTTTTATTTTCATCTTTATATATATTCCAATCTTAAGAAAAATACAAATCGTTTAATTGAAATGATTCTAATTTTTCATTTCTTTAATAGCTTCTGCTATTGTCAATCCTGTCTCAATAAAATCTTCAATTATTTGTACAACTTTAATTTAATTTTTCATCAACTTAAAGCCTTTATTATTCCAATTGTTTTTTTACTTACTCCTTATGAATTCTTAAATATCATCATATCTAGATAATTTAATAAAATAAATTTAAAATTTATGTCAGGATCATCTTTTCTTATCTGTCATTTACATAAAATTTCATTTAAAAATTGAAGGATTTTTTTAATGGTTTTTTTCTGAAAAATATAATTAAAGTTACTGCTTTTGATAATTAAATTCATAATGTTTAATGAATAATATAGAAATTTAATTCATAAAATTCTAATTTTTTTAATCATAAATTAATTCATTTATTTAAATTTACTATTTTAACATTCCCATTAGGATATTCTGTTTTTTTAATCTTATCTTAATCAATTGTTTATTTAACTCCATCAGGGTAAAAAATCTCTTCTTCTCCTTTATAATTAACAAATTTTTTGGTTCCATCTTGGAATAATATCTATTTACTACCATCAACAAAAGTAATTTCCAATTACTTATTACTAAAATAAGTGACCTAAATATATTTAAGTTTAAAAATACAGAAATTCCTTAAGGTAAAGAAGTTTGTGTTGAATTATTCTATGAATGATAATAAATTTTAATTCCATTTGGAAGTTCTTACTTAATATCTTTGTTAGGGAAGTGAACAATAACATAATCATTAGGAAATATTTCTTTAATGAATCCTTTCATTCCTTCAACTACCTTCTTTCCAGATTTATATATCTTTAATACTTTACCATCTGATCGTTATGATTTTTCTACAAGTTTTTCTTTTTTATTTGATTACTTTAAATAATCTTTATAAAAAGAATTGTAATTAAATGTAAATTCTTCAATAAATATTTTCTTGTTGATATCATCAATTGAAAAGTTAAATTCTTTATTCTATATCAATTCAAATAAAGGAACAGGTTTAACAATCTCTTAAGGAGCTTATTATTATTGATTATTTTGATCTTAAATTTTTTTCTCATTTTCTAATTGTTAATTTTTAAGTTTCTATTTTTTTTAATTTTCAATTAATTCCTAAACTTCAGAATTTGATTCATAATCATATATTATTTAAGTTAGTTATGCAATTTTTTATTGTTAAGTATTAATTTACTCTTCCAAATATTTTGTTTATTCAATTTTATCTTTGTAATACTTTTAATATTTTTATTTTTTTGCTTATAATTTTAATTATTTTTTATCACTTTCTGCTTTTAGATCTTCAATTTATTTCTTTAAGTCTTCTATTTCTTAAATTAAAGATTTATTTGGTTCATTTTAATGAGTTTTTTAAATCATATCAAAAACAGTTTATTTCTTTTTTATTTTTTCATATTCTTTCTTCTTTAATTCTTCTAATTCCTATATTTAATTGAATTTGTTATATTCAAACATATCTTTTTCATACTTTAATACTTAAAATTAATGATTAAGTTCTAATCTTTCTTTTCTTAATCTTTCATTTTCATTTTAATAATAATCAATTGAGTTTTAAAGTAATTCAATTTCTTTTTTAAAATATTTCTTAGCATTCTCATATTCTTCTTCTTTAGGTTCTTCTATATATTCTTAACTTTCAATTTATTTATTATATAGATTTGAATCAATAAATTTCTTATATTATTTAACCTATTAATTAATATTTATTTAGATTAAAGGTGTTCTTTTACTTGCTTATTTAGCATTTTCTCTTTAACATGCTAATAATATATTACTTTTCTTCTTTAAATACTCTGCATTCATTTTTCGTTTCTTCTCTAGGCTTTCCTCCTCTCTTATTTGATAAAACTCTTAGTTTGTTAAACGTTGAATAGGTCTATTATCTTCAATAATTTGATATGATTAATCTTATTCCTCTTCTTTAATCCTTTCAAAATCATCCTCATCTTAAAGACCAAAACTAAGAATTTGTTATTGTTTTGGAACTCTTTTAGATTTTATTTTTATTTAAGAGTTTTTAGATAAGTATTCAATTTATTGTTATTTTGGATTGTTGTTATAAATAATTTCACCTTATTCTAAATCATTGAATGGTTAAACTAAATTAATCATATGTTTATAGGAATCCTTAATATATATTTAAGAGTACTTTAAAGTAATTCTTTGGATCATATTGCTGTATTTCATTTGCATGTTGATTATCATATTCATCCATAAAATTTTATAAAAATTGTTAAAAGCTTATTGGTTATTCTTTATATAGATTAATTTTAATTACCTTAACTTGAGATTTAATATTCTTCAACAAGTGCTTTCATTAATTTGTCATTTGTTTGAGTAAAATTTAAATTATCATTTTATTATCGTTATTGCATAATGAGAATTATTAATTTAATTAGATAAAAATATTAAGAGAGGAAACTAAAACCAAAACATCTTTATATTGATTTGAATGGTTTTCTAATATATATATATAAATTAATATTATAACATTATGTTAAGATATTTAAAAAGAACTAAATGTAATCAAACTACAATTTTATAATGTTCTGCTGAGTGATTGCTTCCTCTTGATTTATTTATATATTATGATAATGGATATTTGATTGGAGATTTAGATGTATGTTAATTATCTCCTCTTGAATGTGATACTCTTGCTATTGCATATAATTTATCTGTAGAGACAGAGAAATTAAATTAAAGTTCTTTGATTTTGCTCAGTAATAAATTTCGATTGAATTCATCTATCATTTACTATTTTGATTTAAAGTCTTACTTATTATTTAACATTTTATTACAAAGAAGTTTTATTTGTTAATGATTATTAACTAGTAAGATTAGAAACAGTTATTTTTGGACTGGCAACAATATCTACTTATGCTATTTTGGATAAAACATTAGTGCCTTTTTAATTATTGATTTATTTAGTTACTATTTTTTTATACTGATGATGAGACTATTCTAGGAGATGAGGCTGCTGTAATATTTCTAGCAATATATCTTTGACTTGAACTCTACCTTTCATTCTTTTCAACTTTCATATCCTCATAATTTATCCTATTTATCAATGTATAAATTTTTCCATAATCTAATGGTTATGTTTATAATAAGCATAAAAATTATTCCCAACTTTCAGACAAATATGCTTATTAATTTTATGGATATTATGTCAGATTTATTCTAAAGAATTAATCAAATAGAGCAAATAGTGAGTCCATTTTAAATAATTTAACGATTAAAAATTACAGAATATATTTCTCTTTGTTTATTATTTTAAATAAAACAAAAAACAATTATAATAAAATATACTCAAATAAAACTCAATATTATTAAGAATATTATTAAGATCTTAACATATATTATCAAAAAAAGCAATGTATTTTATATAAATAAAATATATGATCATTTATGTGATTGGGATTTAATCTGAAATAATTTACTATTTTGCAATAACGAAGTTTATTCTGATTATTCTTACAAAATTTATGGTTTTTAATTTGTTGACTTTATTTACTATTGTTCTTCATCTTCCAATTCTTATAATTTTTTTTTCAGTTATGAAACAGTAGTAATCATATAATCAAATGAGACTTTTGATTAATCCTAAGTAGAATGAGATGATCTTGATTGACTAGATTAGTTCAACGACATTTGCAATCCTTATCTATTTTGGTAAATCTTAAATCATAATATTTTATACTTTTTGTGTGGATGGAGCTTTCTTTGGCTTAACTTCTTTCTTCATAAATTTATTAAAGAACTAAGGCATGGCTTCTAAAGTATTTTAATATGGTTAAGGTGGTGTGTTTAATGCTGTAGATCTTTATTAGGTATTAGCTGTTTTTGCTAAACTAACTTTACCACCTGCTGTATTAGTTCTTTGTTCAATTACAGGAGGCAAGGAAGAATGGAAATTTTAAGTAAAACTACTTTTATTAATCTCTAGCAAAGTATTTGACAGAAGCATATTGTTAACTTATTTATCTTCTACTTTTTTTTTTAAATTTTGAGCAGCTGTCTTACTATATTTAATTAGATTGAATATTTATACACTTTTCTTTCAAATTGAGTAAGATTACAACATTCAGTATATTTGAGATAACAATCTAAACATACCTAAGTATTTAGTTATCTCCAACTAGGATTAAATTTTAATTATTTATATTTGTCTTCAGATAACTTTCCCCATACTTTTAAAATTAATGCAGGTACAGTTTTAAAATTCAATTTACAATCTTCTTATTCTTCATCTAATTATCGACATAATTCTTAAATTTCAGCATGAACTTAATCAGAAGTTTTTTAATTATTTACAAGTTTATATTTTTCAACCAATATGACTTATTGACTTTATGTACCAGAAATTTATTAATTTGATTATGATTCAAAATAATTAGACAATTTATAATCTAATATAAATTTAAATTATAATTACCTTTATGAATAAATTATTTTGATCTAGTTTTAATATTTTAATTTAATTTAAGCAATTCACTCTTCTTATCATTTTTTATTTTTATTTTTTATAAATCCTCTGGTAATCTAGTGAATTCATTACTTACTAGTGACTAATAACATTAAATAATTTAAGGATACTCTTTCAAAACTTTCAATGATTTATTCAAATTATAATTAATATAACTCTGATGAAAATAAATCACAATTAGAACAAACATTTTCTATTTAATATAATAATTCTTCTATTTGTCCTTCACTATTATATTTAACTACTTTTTAAACATTCTCTGTTCCTGTAATGATAGGTTCAAGATCTCTCCTTATAATTTTAAAAAGAGGAGAGTCTGCTCTATGTTTATCTGGATGTGTTGAAAATTTATCTTTCACTTTAATGCCAGTACAAAACATCAACCAAATTCTATTTTCTTAATCTACCTTAAAATATAAAACCATTCTAATAATTTAAATGTTTCCACCTGATATTTCTTAGACATGTTTAACAATATTTACGCATAATTATTCTAAATCAGAACTTAATAAAGGGGAACTAATAGAATCTGATACAGATAAGTATTCAGGACCATCAAATGTACTAACTCTTTCATATAAAGGCTTTTTAAAATCATTCATATCATTAATATTTGTTTTTCTATTTATTAGACAGAATTAAGGAGACCATGTTACTTTAATCATTGAATTATGATCACCTTTTGGATAAATAAACCTAAAAAATATTAAATTTAATTCTCTACTTTTGAAGTATTGAATTTAACTCTTTTTCTCTTTAATATAAGAATTTACCAAAGTTCTCTTTATCAAAGTATTCAAAATTAATTATTTCTTATTATTTAGATTGAGCCTAAAAGTATTTAATCAGAAATACTTGACTAGTTAATAAAACTGCAACAGTATTATCTTATAAAAATGATTATTCAACTTATTCAATAAAAACCCTTTCTTTAGTTTTCCTAATGATTTAACCATTTTAGGCTGTAAAATATCCTATTATATAAATTTTATATATTACTAAAGTAAGGTTATGCCCATCTATATATAACAGTATCTGCTAGAAAGACTCCATTGCAACTATGACCAGAATTAGGATTCTTTTTCCAAAGATGGAAGAAGAGCCACTCAGTACAAGTTCCAAGTTTCATGAATTTATTTAATATTAATTATTTCTAAATATAAATTTATGAAGTTGAACATAAGTTTTTTATTGTTCAAAGCAAGTAGTTTGTTATGAATTCTAATTGCTTTGATAATTTATATCTCATAAAAATAAATTTTACTTTAATTCTTCTTATAACTAATTCTGAAATGTATCATTCTAATTATTATATTTCCTATTACTTAGACTGCACATTTAAATTAACTAAATTTGGAACTGCTTATTGTTAATCTTTATATTCGATTGAATGCTGCTGGTGTTTAATAGTAATCATCACTAAATAAATTAATTTTATATCTACTTATATAATTTTGAAGGAGTCTAATCTAATTATTGCATTGATAACATTTGTCTAGATTCAATTAAGACTGGTTGTATATTATTCTAATTTTTGTTCTCTTTTTCTTACTCAATTTCCTTCATTTAATTTTTCTTATATATCAAATATTTTCTATGCATTCTATTTCTTCTAGGATGCTTACTGATGTATTTGTTTCTGATATCAAACTTCATATAATATTATTATACATTATTATTCAAATTGCTTCTAGTTCTCAGAGTAGTATTTTAATTTTTTATTATTGCTGGCTCATCTATCTCATCTTCCTCAATGTCTGTGACTAAGCTTACATACTTTTTATTTAAAAATATTATTTCAATTGCTTTCCTTTCATAAGGGTTCACAAATTAATCTAAATAAGTATGCCTACCTTCTTTAATTCAAATTAAAAACCCTTTTTATTAAAATTGTTATCTTATCTTCTATAACTTTTCTCTAAATTCATTCATTCTCTTCTTCATTCCAGAGTTCCAATGATTCTTTATTGCATTATCAGTTCTTCCTTCTAAATGCTTAGCAATTTCTGCCCATTCATTACTAATTGCTTCATGATACAAAAATAAAATCCATTCCTCTTCATATTCCCAAGGAGACTTTTTTATCAAAGGATTCAAATGATTATGCCAACTAAATTTTACAAAATTAAATACCGTTCCCTACATTATTTTCCAATTCTACCTTACAACTTAGATGCTATAAATGTCCATTTATGAGGCCCATATTATTCTACTAATTGCATAACCTAAGCATCCTCATAATCACTCCATGGTTCTAAATTTATAATATCATATACTTTTTTTTATTTTTTCAATCTTTTTTCTCATTCAAAATTATAATTACTTCCAATATATTGATAAAATTAACGATTATAAAATTCATAATTATCAATAAAATCTAATAAATTTTAAATAAACATATACTCTTTCCCTTTTATTAATGATTGATTTGTCTCATTTCTTTCATTATCAAAAATATTACAGTTTATTAAACTATATTATTCAGTTTCATTAATTAATAAAGCTTTAATTATTTGTTTAAATTTAGAGTAATTCACAAAATCGTTTTTAAATAACATATATATGATATATTGCTAGGACAATATAATTATTTGAATTCATATTATTTCCTTATCAATATTAATTAACATATATTCTTCTCTTATTATTTTCAAGACTTAAAATGAATTCATTTTGGAACAAATAAATTCATTTTAATTTCTATTTTTTAGTTAAACAAACATGACTATCTATTAAATTGCATTGAAGAACACTCTTATTGTATAGTTTAAATAAAAACCAATAATGAATTTTTATAAAGAAAATCTAAATACTCTTTAAACCATAACTGAGCTCAGAATAAATTCAATAAATTAAGACTTTTTCAAAATATTTTTAAATAAGAATATATATTCTCAAAAGCTTTTATCACCATCAACTATTTTAGTCTGAGGTATCTGTTTCTCCTTTTTCTTATGAAAAAGAATACAAAATAGGTTTCAAAATTATTTAAAAACACTTTTTATTCTTGAAAAATTCCCTCTTATCAATCTCTAATAGTTATTATTCAAAACAAGGAATAGGTTCATTTTTTGACTAAACTTATCGACCCGTTTATATATGGCATCCCATTAATTAAAAATTATTTATTTTAAGTTTCAATCTATTGGATTTNTCTTATCTTCTATAACTTTTCTCTAAATTCATTCATTCTCTTCTTCATTCCAGAGTTCCAATGATTCTTTATTGCATTATCAGTTCTTCCTTCTAAATGCTTAGCAATTTCTGCCCATTCATTACTAATTGCTTCATGATACAAAAATAAAATCCACTCCTCTTCATATTCCCAAGGAGACTTTTTTATCAAAGGATTCAAATGATTATGCCAACTAAATTTTACAAAATTAAATACCGTTCCCTACATTATTTTCCAATTCTACCTTACAACTTAGATGCTATAAATGTCCATTTATGAGGCCCATATTATTCTACTAATTGCATAACCTAAGCATCCTCATAATCACTCCATGGTTCTAAATTTATAATATCATATACTTTTTTTTATTTTTTCAATCTTTTTTCTCATTCAAAATTATAATTACTTCCAATATATTGATAAAATTAACGATTATAAAATTCATAATTATCAATAAAATCTAATAAATTTTAAATAAACATATACTCTTTCCCTTTTATTAATGATTGATTTGTCTCATTTCTTTCATTATCAAAAATATTACAGTTTATTAAACTATATTATTCAGTTTCATTAATTAATAAAGCTTTAATTATTTGTTTAAATTTAGAGTAATTCACAAAATCGTTTTTAAATAACATATATATGATATATTGCTAGGACAATATAATTATTTGAATTCATATTATTTCCTTATCAATATTAATTAACATATATTCTTCTCTTATTATTTTCAAGACTTAAAATGAATTCATTTTGGAACAAATAAATTCATTTTAATTTCTATTTTTTAGTTAAACAAACATGACTATCTATTAAATTGCATTGAAGAACACTCTTATTGTATAGTTTAAATAAAAACCAATAATGAATTTTTATAAAGAAAATCTAAATACTCTTTAAACCATAACTGAGCTCAGAATAAATTCAATAAATTAAGACTTTTTCAAAATATTTTTAAATAAGAATATATATTCTCAAAAGCTTTTATCACCATCAACTATTTTAGTCTGAGGTATCTGTTTCTCCTTTTTCTTATGAAAAAGAATACAAAATAGGTTTCAAAATTATTTAAAAACACTTTTTATTCTTGAAAAATTCCCTCTTATCAATCTCTAATAGTTATTATTCAAAACAAGGAATAGGTTCATTTTTTGACTAAACTTATCGACCCGTTTATATATGGCATCCCATTAATTAAAAATTATTTATTTTAAGTTTCAATCTATTGGATTTTGTAATTCATTATACAATCAAATTAATTAATGGTTACAAATGAAATCAAATGAATTGATTTAATGATTCACAATTTCTTTTATATATAGTTATTTTTGGCTCTAATAATTTTAATGATAATTTTATTATTATTTAATTGTCGTTATGAGTTACGATGACAATTAGCTTGATGTATCGAGCATCTCCATTATTAAAAAGTTTTTAAAATCTGAACTTCTTGATGAGTCTGAATTTGAAGTAGAACAATCAAATGAGTAAAACAAAAAACCTTAATAGTTCAATTTCAATTTATTGCTTGAATAGAAAAATGATTAAAACTGTTAAAAAAAATAATTAGATTCTTAAGAAAATAAAGACATAAATTATTTAATTGATGAATTAAGATTAGAGTAAAAGAATTTCTAAGCAGAATTAGAACATTTATAAAGCTAATTTATATAAGAAATAAATTTTTTAATGTAGAAAGTTTTCAATTAACACTAATTGTTTTATAAACAATAAGAATATTAATTATCTTTAATACAATAAAAGAGATAAAGATTATAATTATAATCACCTTAATAATCATATACTCTATTGTGTCAAATAAATCCAAATTTATAAATATATTAGAAATTTAATAAAGACCTAAAAAATAGTTTAGTAAAATTATTACAAAATATTAAAACAACTAAAATTGGTTAAGAAATATTTAATGCATAAGAATAGTCATATCAATCTCAAACATCAAGATCCCCTCTTGCTTAATTAAATAAATTATTTTCTAGGTAAGGATCAATGGAAAAGAAATAAACTTTTGCCAATAAAATAAATAATACGAATATGAAACTAAATTTAGTAATGCCAATGAAAAGAGATACTTAATCTTTTTGGAATCAACCAAGTGAAAGAAAGTGTAGTATTACTTCTAAAATAAGTTCAAGTCCTTTTGAGAAGAGAGAAAAATATTTAGTTTAATAAGCATTATTCAAATAATCATCAGATTTCCTAAAATTTAAATGTTGATATTTAATCATACTATTATTTATATTTAGATAAATTATTAAATCAAATGATACTATCCCATTATAATGTTTATAACAATAAATCAATATAATTTTATCAAATTATTTTTCTTATTTAATTAAAATATAGGGTATGTATTTTTTTGAATTCAGTTTTTCTGTCTAATTCATATTTGATAATTTTATAGATGATGATAATTACATTCTTGAATTATATTATTAAATTAAATAAAAAATTTCATGTAATCAAATACTCCTTAAAATAATTCACGTCAAACATAAATCAAATTGCCAACCTAATTAGAGGAATAAAATTTAGGCCATACTTCACAAATTCCTTATGCCATTACTAAGAATCCAATAGTTTAGAGAAGAGAATCCAATAGAAAAACAAGCACTTGATTAAATTATGCATATTTCATCTTGCTAATCTTTATAAATGATTTATATCATGGAATTTGCAAGTTCTTTTGATTTTTGAAGGTCAGATCTAGCTAACAAATGGAGTTACAACAATTAGAAATCAATAAACGGCATTTATATACTTTAATTACCTCATGACACATTCATAAAAATAACTATGAGTAAAAGAATTTTACAAAAAGCTTAAGCTGAGTTTAATATCAAAAAATTTTAATCAAACTTATAAAATAAAAAAGCTTCCATTTCTTCCAAATTTATAATTAATATTTTCATAAAAATAATAAAATATTTTCAATTAAGAGTTTTTTTTTGTTTTTGGATAGATTATATGAAATTTATATGAAAAGTGTATTTCAAAGTCATTATATAAAGTAAAAAATTTATAAATATAAATGTAGAAAATAAATAAATAATTATTACTGAAATAAATATTGATAAAATTATATTACTTAAATTTCTTTTCAATTTATAGAATCCATTATAACAAGGAAAAATAGAAAGACATATTTTAATTGAATGATTGTTGCTTACTTAAATTAAGATCAACAATAGTGAAATGTGTACAACTTTTTGTGATTTATAAAAACCTCCTAATCTTTGAAATTATTTATTTTATTTAAAAATATTAAAATATAAATCCAAAATTATTCTTAATAGTATAAATAAGCCACCTATTTAACCTTGATAATTTTCAAAATAATAATGCTTAATTATAACATACTTATATTTAAAAATAAATAGATGAGTTATTAATTGCTATGACCAAAGAATCTTTCTTTGGCCCAAGAGGTTACAAATTTAAAACCACATTTCTTATATTTTTTTTCAGGAATTTAGATACTAAATAATTAATTGATCACAGCAATTTTCCAACAACTTTAGAAAATATGAATAATAATAAATATGATTATGTTAAATCTCATAAGTGATCTATTTTTTCATTTAAAAATTGAGTAATCAATAAAGAACATTTACAATTAAACTTATTAGAGTTAAATTAGCCTAATTGGAGAATGCAAATAAAACAATTTAGATTGAGAAAAAGAGAGGAAGACATTATGAATTAACTTTGCAACTAAAGAAGGACAAAATAAAGTTGCCAAAATAAGAGATAGCTTTATTAATATGAAGAATTTTTATTGCGAATCTTCTTAAAAAAACAGTTAAATAAAATGGACTGTTAAGAAAAAATTTATATGCTTAACTTTATTTTGGTACATTTTGTATTAAGTTTATGGTTTCATGCAAAATATCATTGGACTTCACCAAATACAATTCTAATTATAAAAGGTTATTTTTCTAAAGAGATCAACTAAAAATTAAATTACTCTATGTAATATCTATTAAAAAATGATTATATAAGGTTAGATAAATGTTTAGTTTAAAGCAAATAAAACTAAAAAATCTAAATAATGAAGATGATGACTTTTTTGATCTATTTTATATATAGTATTTTTGTAAGTAAATTGGTGAATATTGTTTTTAATGATGCCATTCTTATATTTTTATTATGAAATAAGTTAGTTTGAATGTAACTGAAGGTGTGAATAGTATTATTTTATATTATTAATACTTTTTTAATTTCATTAATAAGTGCATTTATCAAGTAAATATTTAAAATAATTCTTTAAAAAATGGAAAATAAGGTTAAATTAAGCACCCAAGATGGAGTGATCATTGAAGTATTAAGAATTTCTATTTAGGTTGATAAAGAAGTAGCTTGTAAATCTCATTTAATCAATACTATTATTGATGATACAGGTAGTGAAGAAGAAATTCCATTACCAAATGTTAAAAGCAGTATCTTAAAGAAGGTGATTTAATACTGCGAATTACATAGAAATGATACACCACCTGAAATTGAAAAGCCATTAAGAAGCAATAATTTGTAACACTTTATACTTATTTTTTAGGTCTGATTGTGTGGAATAAAAAGATGCCGAATTTATTGATATACCTAATTTAGAGGAACTATTTGATATTATATTGGCTGCCAATTATTTAGACATTAAGTCTCTTCTAGATTTGTCTTGTGCTAAAGTTGCTACTTATATTAAAGGTATTTAGATAATCGATTATTTAAGGCAAAACCCCTGAAGAAATTAGAAAAACATTCAATATTTAAAATGATTTGACTTAAGAAGAAGAATAATAAATAAGAGAAGAAAATAAATGGGCTGAGGAAACAAGTTGATTTTTCTTCATAAAATTTAATAAAAATATATTATAGATCTTTTTCCTAGAAAATCCATATAAGAATTATATTTAGCTTAGAGCTATGTATCCTTTATTTCTAATTTTCATTATTATTAAAGATATATTCAAAAAACAATATTGTCACAAATAAATTTCTTTAATTATCAACAATTCATTTTGTAAATAAATAAGAATTTTAGATATCTATTTTTAAGAGAATAAAGTTCAATTAATTCTAGGTTCATATAACTTACTTTATCTTATACTTCTCAGTATTTCTTTAATAAAAATATAATTTTCATTTTTTTTTTACAATATTGGAATGAATACTTTATTTATTAATATTATGTGTTTTAAATAATAATATAATGAATTCATGTATTAAATCAATAGGCAGTGCAAAAGTACTTTCGATAATGCTAATTGCTGATAGCTTACTTATTCATATACAATCCTATTTAATTTCAAACTATAATTATTTGATAATAGCACTATCATTAACATGCTTTCATGGAATCGTTTTAACATCTGAACATTTCTTATAGGGCAGAAATAAATTATTAAATGTTTTTTTTACTGCTTCTAAGGGTGTAGCTTAAATTATTGTTCATTACATATTGGAACAAAATTGGTTGATTTTTGCTGGAATATAAATAATTTGTATAATGAAATAGGATGTATTACATATAAAATATGTTTCATCTATATTTTTTATAACTTAAATATTTTGTGTCGCTTTTAACAAGACAGACTTCATAATTGTAGGAGTAATTAGGACTGTTTTTAATTATATATTGATAAGTCAAATATTTAGATTTGAAAGTAAAAATACTTTAATTCAACTGGAAAACATTATAAAACATATATAATATGATGAATTTTGTTTATTGGATAGTTATTTTAATCCAGTATTTAATTAGTAAATCTTTGAAAAATTAAAAGAAGAACAAGTAGTTGGTGTATAGGATTTCTATATTTAGACAAGAATAATAACTCCAAGAGATAACACTACTAATTTAATTAGAGAAATTCCATTAAATTGTGAGGAAGAAGCCAAATAAACCTTATCAATAAGGGATATAATATTTCATCTAAAAAAGAACAAAGTTCCTTTATCTTAAAAACTTTGTTATTAATTAAACATCTAATAAAATTATCATATTTAAATAGAGAATATTATATTGGATGAGAATAATTCTATGATAATGATATAAAAAAGAAAAAAATGTGAGAATATATAATCAGGGAATTAAATAAATTTGATGATTAAGACTGTTCGTAAAGTATCTCATGATATGAGAAATCCTTTGAATGCTATAATTAATATGTAAATGTGTTTAAAAGAACAAATTGATAAAGAATTAGTTATGAAGTATCTTAAACCTTCACTAAATTCCTGTCATTTATTACTTAATCTATTAAATGATATATTAGATTCAGCTTAAGTTGAAAATAAAAAGATTAAATTAGTTTACAGAAGATTCAATCTTTAAAAACTAATTCAAAAAACTATTTCAATATTTGATTCATTAAAGGATAAGAAAGATATTATAATTACATTTAATTATGATTCAAAAATACCTATAGAAGTAAATTCTGATAAATTTCGAATTAGATAAATAATAATGAATTTGCTTAGTAATGCTATTAAATATACAAAACCAAATGGGAAGGTGTATATTGATTGTTCTGAAAGTTCTTAAAGAAAGAATTTCATTAAAATTTGTATCTAAGATACTGGTTTTGGAATAAAACAAGAAAATTTGAAATATTTATTCAAAGAGTATTCTAAAATAGAGGAAGGTGAAAATTAAAATTTAAACCCTTTTGGAATAGGATTAGGTTTGATGATAAGTAATGAATTAGCTAAATTATTATCTAATAATGGTATTTAAGTATAATCAGAAGTTGGAATAGGTTCAATATTTTATTTTGAGATTGAGAATAAATAACTTGCACCTGAAGATATTTCAGAATCTCAATTATTCATTATTCATCAAAATGGATTACCTTCCTTTGATGTGCATTTCATTCCAGGAACTAATTCAAATAAATCTCCAGTAATTTCTTTGGCATTACCTTAAGTTGAAAGTAGTAAGAAGATAATTTTAAAAAGATCTTAAAAAACTATTAATATAATGACTAATTCTATAAATAACTTAACAAGATTGAATGTAAAAAGTGATGAAAAGAGTATTGCTAGAAAATAGTCATTATAAGCTAAATAAATATAGGCTTTAAGAGATAAATGGTATGATTATACTAATTAGAAACCTCCAATTTTAATTGTAGATGATGATGAAGTTAATATAATGGTATTATAATATTTAATGGAATAAATGAATTTAAGTTCGGATTCAGCAATGAATGGAATGGCTTGTTTGTAAAAATTCGTAGAAAGATAGAAAGAAGGTTTATCCTATCAATTAGTGTTTTTGGATATCAATATGCCAGAAATGAATGGATTTGAATTAGCTAAGAAATTAATTCAAATAGATCCTCTTATCAATTTAATTGCTTGTTCTGGTGATGCACCCAATTCTAGTTATGTAGAAGAATGTAAATAATCTGGTATTATTGGTTCTATTTTAAAACCTATTCTCAAAAGTAAATTAAAAGAATTACTATTAAAATTATCAGAAGGAATAAAATATGATAGTTAATAATTTTCATATTATTGCTGATTATATATAATATTTTATATATATAATGTTAGCTAAATAAATATTCTTAGCAAAGGCATAAAATAAGCCTTAATAAACAGGAAAAATTGAATTTCCAACTCTTTTGGATTTAACTATAGAGTAGGTGGCTCTAAATTTTGATCTTTATTCTTCGTTGCCAGGTATTCCAGAAAAAATAAAACATTAAGTATTTCATCATAATATTCATTAGATTATATCAAAAGCACCCAAAAATTTACCTGTAACAATCACTTACAATAGTATTGAAGATGAGAATTATTGGAAACAAGCATGTGAAACTAAGTGGAAAGGCACTCATAGAACAATTAATATATGCAAACATAGTTACAGTTATAAAATTGCTTATATGGAAAATTTCCTTGAAGAATACTTCAAATCAATAAAAGTAAGTGTTTATATGAATAATAGAGTTTAGAATCATAATCAGAAAAAGATGAATTACAAGCAATATTAAAAGCAGTCAATAATTGGGTTTATTCACTTAATATATCATAAACATAATGCAATATTGATATTGGATTTTTATGCTAATACTTACCATGTCTATAGAATTTGACAGTTATATATGGAGTTAAAGTAAATATTAAATTATTATATTTTCATTTAGACTAGTGGAATTGATTAAACAAGAAAGGAAATCTTGGGTATGAAACTTAGTCAAGCAGCTGAATTAGGAGAAGCAATCTCTAAACATTGTAGAAATCTTGTATCTGTTATATATTATATTAGTAATCCTTATCTTTACCTTCTAATTTAATTGATGATGATTTATTAAGATTGTTGATGACAGGAATAAATCTTGATATATCCATAATTGAATTAAATCTATCACATAATAAAATTGGAGATTAAGGGTAAATTAATATATTATTTTTACAAGAGTTATAAGGATAGCAAAATATTTAATGAGATCAGAAATACTACTTAAATTAGATTTGTCTAATAATGCAATTGGATTAGTTGGATCTAAAAATTTAGCATATGCTCTATTATTTAATAAATCACTTGAACATTTGAATTTGTCATTAAATTCATTTAATGATATTGCTGGTGCTAATTTCTTTAACAAACTTAGTTAAAATAAAAGTATCCAACATTTGAATTTATCTGCTAATTAATTGGGTAGTTTAACTGCTGAAATGCTTGAAGTATATTTATCAGATTCTTCATGCACTTTACAATCCTTAAATATTAGTAATAATAATTTTAGTGAAAATAATGATAATAAAGATAAAAATATATATGAAAAATTAAAGACAGGTTTAACAAAGAATACAAGTTTAATACATTTTGATATTTCTCATTCTAAATTTAAAAGAAGTAAATGACTTTTTTTAATTAAGTTAATGCTGAGAAGGAATTGCAAGATATAATTGTTTAAAGTAGATTAAAATAGAGAAAAATTCCTTTTGTTTCAAAGGAGGAATTCGAATAACAATAAGCATAAAATAAATTAAGTAATAAAAATTATTATATCTTAGGAAAGGAAAAGTTAGAAAAAGCAAAAACAAAATAAGTAGAAGAAGTAATCTCACCATAATGAAATAAATGCATAAATATTCAACAGATAAATATTTTAAAATTATTTATTTATATATTTGTGATAATATCTTTTTGAAATATTAATTATTGATATAAATTTATATAATATCATTATAGAAATTTAAATTATTTTTAATAATCAAAATAAATAAATCTTTATGATATTATAATAATCATAATTGTACTAAATAATCTACATTGTGTTTAATTTATTTTATAGTGGTTTTCTATGTTTTTGATTTTATCATTATATCTTAACCTACAAATATTGATTTTATGATTTAAGCTATATTAAATTATTATTTTAGAGTCAATAATTCTAATATATAAATAAAATTTACTATTTAATTTTATTACTTGTGTAATTTTCACTTTCTTATATATCATCTTTACAATCACAGTATTATTTTAAATTTATTAAATATTCATTTCCAATATTTAAGGTATATTATGTAGATATAAATAAGAACATAATAAAAATAATGGAAATTTACTAAATATCCTTTAAAAACTAATCAAACTTAATTTCACTAAATAAATGAATATGACAATTAACAAAAACCAAAAATAATATAATGAAACAGTTGGTATCATCATTAGTAAAAAGAAACCTAAAAACATAGATATAATCTTTTAATCCCATAAAAATGGATGATCTTCTAATTTATTTCTATATTTATTTATGTATTTATTTTAGGTAATTCTATAAAAACAAATTATCATCACCCATAATTATCTATAAATAACCATCAACATTTTATATATGTAATATACATGAATAGTACATAAAGATATAATATCTATGGCTAAGGACAATTCAAAATTTAATCCAAATAATCCAAATATCATAACAGCTCTTAATAAAATATTTTCATAAGGTGTAATAAATGTAGTTATATGATTCCATAATACAATTATATACATAATCATTTATCCTAATACATAATTTAAAGGTTTATTGGTTTTTAATCCTGCAGGAAATCCCATCAACCATTCAACTTCTTTTGACAACACTTCTATATGTATACTAGAACCATATTTATGTAAAAAGTCTCTCAATTAAGTAACATTATAATAAAGTAATAACAAACTTAATACACCAAATAATATATCCAAAAATACAAATAAGATTCCTGAAAATAATTTATGATAATTATATTTCAAATTTGAAATAAATAAAGGTTAGTGTTATGATACTAATTCTCCTGCTTGATCATTCCATTAATTAAATAAATTATATTTAAAATTTACTTATTTCATAGTGTATGATAAAAAACCAAAATCTTAAAGATTTTTACCCATAATTCTAAATTCCATAATTTTTATTACAAATTAGAATACTATTTTCTAAAAATATGTAATTTTGAGAATAATTTTCAATAATGTATTTATTGTATCATTTTTAAGATAACAATAGTAATAATTTTATTCAGAATTAGATTTATTATTAATATATTTATTGAATTCTCTTAATATATGTTGTCTCCAATTAATATGTATTAATGAATAATCTAATTCATTTAATTTATCTTTATCACATATTTTAGTAATCTCTTCTGAATGATTTTAATCAAATGCTATCATAGGATTTATTGTTAAGATTGATTTATGATTAGGATCTAAATAATTATCAATTTCATTTGATATTATCTAATTTTATATAAGCTTATCATAATAAACTATTGTGCACTTTGTCTAATATTTATATCCACATATCATCAACTCTTCTAATTTATTATTTTTTAACCACAACCAAGTTTCTCTGAATTATTAATCGCTTTTTTTCCCAACTATTCCTAAGACCTGTAGTTTTGTCTAAACTTTTAATAAACAAATTTACTCCACAAATTAATTAAATTCTCTCTTGCTTATCCCAATTGTTTAATTAGTTTTCTATTTCTTCAATGCTTTTATTATTTATAATTTGTAATATAGTAAAATTAAATCCTCTAGTGTTGAATCCAATAATGTATCCTTCTTCATTTTATTAATCAGATGGAAAAAATATTTGGGTACAATCTGTAGACATTTAAAAAATATATATAATTATACTCAAATTTCTTAACTATTTACTTATGTTGGCGTTACTAACTCCTCTAAATTATGTTCAGATTATTAAAAATTAAACCCTGCTTATTCTCTCATATTTATAGACTATTGTTAATCAGTCCCTGATGAATTTTTTTCATTCTCGTTATCACTATCATCATTAAACTAAAATGCAATCTCACCCATTAGTTATTTTTCTTTTTTTTGTTTGCTTTTTCTACTTGGAGTATTAGATTATTTTTGTGATTTTACTTAATTTTATTGCTTGTGTAATTGTGATTAATGAGAATCTGGTATAACTTCTTAATCACCTAAATCAATATGTAAATTATTTTAAATTGCTTCTGGACTTTTAATTTCCACTTATTATTTTTTATGACAGAAGTGTTTAATTAACATTATTCCGATTAGAGTCAGAAACAACATCAATCCTACTAATATTAATATAGTTAATGTCATAATATTTATAATAATTCAAACGATTATCTATTAATTATTTATAGACCTTAACTGTGTATTAAATTTTTATTATTTTTTACTTGTAAAATAAAACTAAAAGAAATAAGATGAAGAGTTTTATTAATATTTATATAAACTGTTATTTCTTCAAATATTAAGTAATATTAATGAAATATTTATAAATTAAAATAATATATAATTTGTATATCTTGATTAATTTGAAGATTGAATAATAAAAAATAGACAAATTAAATAATCTAATTTATATGTTTACTTAGAATTACAATAAACCATTATTTTTGTCTTTGATTTTAGCTTATAAGCAAAGAAAATCTATATAATTTATATTAATAACAACTAATAATCTATAATTTTTAACATAATCAGAAACATATGATCTCTGTTTTGTTTTAACTATCGAAAATCTAAAACAAGTTCAAATTTTGCCTTATATTTTATTGACAATCAATAAATAGAGATTTATAGTGTGTTCATATTATATTAAATAATTATTACAAATTTAGATGGATCATAATAGGGATATCAAATATTCAACATTGAAGGTGTCTGATTCAGTTCAATTTGGAGGAATTATGACAAAGGAAGAGTGTTAAGCATTGGCAAAGAAAATTATGTCAATATATGATGGGGATGGAAACGGCACATTAGATTCTTTTGAAGTGGGCTATATTCAATCAGATTGTTATAGAGCCATGAATAAAGGATTTAATCCAACTCCAACTGATATTGCTGCTTTTTCAAGAATAATAGATAGTAATAATAATACTAAATAAATTTTTAGGACGATAATGTGGCATGGTCACAGATAAAGATATAGAAGCCTTGTGTATAAAATACTTCGGAGGTAATTTCGATAGAAGTGAAAGAAGTGAAAGAGTTGTACCTGAACAAACAATAAGTTAACAAAGAACTTATGAAACAAGCTCTTTTAATAGATAAGTATCAAGCAATCAGAATAGCAAAGTCATAACAGTTCAAAAACAAACTATAGTCACAAATTAGGTTTAATAAATTCCTAGTTCACCTCCTGTCAAAAATACTTACAGTTAAGTAGTGTAAGAGAGATTGGAAGTAGCAAGAAGAATTTTTAGAATGTTGGATACAGAAAAAAATGGATTTATTACAGATAGACATGTAAATTTAAATGGAAGTAATTTAGGTTCCATCATTACTTCAGGAAACATATAAATTGATGGGAATGTCAATTGAACCAACTTAAGAAGATGTAGAATTATGGATGGAAATGGCAGATGAAGATAGAGATGGCAAAGTATATCTAAAAGATTATGAGGCATTAGTAATAAGAAGTCTAAAATAATAAGGAATTGTTTTAGAATGATTCAAATAAGCAAATATTTAACAGTTAAGTTTTATTTAAAGATATGATTTCTAAAGAAAAAAAGTTGCTATTATTTTTAAATTTCTAAATACATATTTTCTTTGATACATTATTTCAATTTATGTAATCATTTTTCAATCATTTAGGAGTCATAAATCTAATAAATTCATCATAACTAAATTTGCCATCTTTATCTAAATCAGCTTTTAAAAATAGTTCATCTAAATCATTATCTGGTAATTTTTACTAACCTAATTTAACTAAACCTAATTATATATCTGTTTTAGATAGAAATCCATCTTTATCTAAATCAAGTACATTAAATGCCTAATTCAATTCTTCATTTGTTTCTTCTTCTCTCATTCTTTTACCCATTAAACCAATAAATTCATCAAAATCTACTTCTCCATTTCCATCAACATCTACTTCTTCAATCATTTCTTTCAATTATTAAGGAGTAGGATTTTCTCCACATTCTTTCATCAGATTACCTATTTCATTTGTTGAAATGGTTCCTCCTCCATCCTTGTCGAACATTGCAAAGAGCTCTTTAAATTGCTTTATTTACTCTTGATTAAAATTATAAGTATTCATTAATATTTTTATAATTTAGCTGGACACAAAAATAAAGGTTTATATCTATATTATTAGTTAGCAACTGATTTTGCTTAAAAAGGCAAGATCATTTGATTTATGCATTAAAGATCCTCTTATTTTCTCTTTTTACACTCTTATCTATCCACTGATTAATTTTAATCACCAATTTCTTGAAATGATGATTAATACATTGTATTCATAGGAATCGATAAATTACTAATGTGTTTATAAATTTAATATACACTTTAAAAATTTAATCTCTCTAATTTTAATACTAGGTAGATGGTTTAGGTTCTATCTTCAATTTTTGATATACCCTTTAATTCTAAGTTTCTAATTGACTAATTTTTAAAGGACCTGTATGTCTCTCATAGGGTCTCTTAAATAACACATTCTATTATTTAGGTTTATCTGAAAAGAACTCTTAATAACTGGTGCTACCTTCAAATGATGAATGATTAGCAACTCTAGAATTAGCAAATCTAGCAGGAGTTCCAGTCAAACTGAATCCTCTATATTATCTTTAATTGCTGGTAACAAACTAATTGGGCAGACCTTGCATCTACCTATAAGAATTCTCAAAAGTCTAATAAAAACTTCGACTCACAGTGATTGGAGTATCCCTTACACTTACTTTAGGTGTTAAAGATCTTTTTCTATAAGATGTAGCTAATTAAAATCTTGGATTCTTGCATTAACAATTTCCACATTAACAAAGTGCACATTCGCACATATTTAAATTATGTTTAAAGTAATCCAAATTATGTTTTAATGTTTTTTCATCTATCTGATACCCCACTTTAAGTGCTTCTGACATTACATCTTCTATACTCATTTGTATTTTTATAATATATTATATTATAACGTAAATAATTATCAATCATTTTTCCTATTGATGTAAATATCAATTATTTTGTTTATGATATTTTAAGCAAACTATAAGCCAAATAAATTTTAACTTTAACTTTGAAACTTATGATATAAATTTTTATTGTTCAAAATCAAATATTTATATTAAAATAATTATAGGGACCTAGAGCTATTTACATGAATACTTGTGAGTAATGTAACTAATATATCCTTGCATATTGATTAATAACACTTCATAAAAATGAGTCAAATATAGCGACCATGGAAGATCTACGACCTATTATGATTCAAAGTCATTTGGTAAAGTTTGTAGAATTGTCATAAGAAATGAGATTCAAAACTCATTGAAAAGATGATCAATTGGAAAGGATAAATTGAATAACTGAAATTAAAAAATATTGATCTTGAGAAAGATGAAAAAGATCCCAATAAGGTACTAAAAAGAACAAACTTTATTTAAATTCGTCAAATTCCAGGATATGTATATTTTGAATTATGGAAATTTAAATGGAGGAAATGTAAAAACATAATCTCTACATGACTTTTGAACACCTTAAGGATCACCTTTCCTCTCATTGGGGTAAATGGTGTGAGAAGATTGAGAAGATCTAGAATTACACCATAGACACTACAGGAAGCTGTACAAGAAAATCCAAAAGAGTATAACTCTCCAAATGAGCGATATAGCCATAAATATAAAGAAATTAATAAAGTAAGATTGCAAATATTACTGCATCAAGGCCTATCACAATCCTATTTGAACATAAATTCACATTCATTATTATTATAATTAAAAATTATAGATTAGTGGAAATTTGAATAAATAAAAAATATATTGTTATACTTAAACTGTTCTATGAGAATAATAATAAGTAGATATATGTCTTTCTTTTTATGATATTACTTCTTAAAGAAGATGACTTTTAAGATATATTCTAATACACTCTTAAATTTATTTATAAGAATTAGTTTAAATATCTAGCATTTTTTCATAGATAAAGGGCCAATATTTAAAGAAAATCTATGTGAATTATAGAAATTAGAATTCTGAATCTATTTTTTTAGAATTAAATGGTTATAAATTAGATGAACATATGTAATTTGTAAAATATATTTATTAAATAATAGTCTTATATATTGATTTTTGATATTTAAAGATTTTAAGTTTTAATGAAATTTCAAAAACTAGTGAAAAGTAGATGTCTAAGAATAAAATTTGATGAGAAAAAAAGATTAAGAATATAAGAGAGAGAAATAGATAATAATTTTTATATCAATAATAATTATTGACTCTTTAATTATTTCTGTTTAGTAAAGGCTATGGTAACTCAATGAATTTATTCTAAAAATAACTTTATTAGTTTTATTGAATTTAATCCTCTACAAATCTTCTATTTTTGTTTATTTACTCATCAAAATTATTGATAGGTAAATATGTAAGATTATTGGGTTTTTTTGATTAACCTTACATAAAATTCTGCATTCCACTTAGACTCAAATTCATGCTTTCACTGGAATGAATTTAATTAAATTTAGTATTGTCTTTTGGATAAATAGTTTCTTGAATTGAATTGATATCAAAATACCTGTTCTTCTATTAGGAGGAGTTTACCAATTATCATCTTGTTCCATCATTATACTCTTATTTAATTCATCTTAATCACTCTCCATATAGGAATCAACTTGATCAAGGTTTTTGATTACTGATCTTCTTGTTCCACTTTTTTATTGTTAATGCTCATATAACATTTAAACCATTTTTAAGACTTAATCATACTCAACATTATTATCATTTAAATAATCATCATGTTCAATATAGAGTTGCTCTGTGATTAAATCTGGAGTTGGTAAATAGACTAAGGAATTAAGTTCAATTCGATATCTAAAATAATCAAATTGAGTGACCTTCTAAGTTTTTTATCTTTCAAATTGTAACGATAGATAACAAATAAACTTGGTGGGTTATGTTTAATAGCTAATTTGAGTATTATTTTTTTTTATATCATATTAATAACACATAAATTATCATATGAGTTTTTGTTTTGAGAAATTTATTTAAATTTATTGAGAATAGCCATATACTTCGTAGCATTCGTGACTAATTTGGATTATCTAATTTATCCATAATCTTAAAGATATTGTTATAAGACAGAAACTTGACATGAATTTTTTGTCAAATTTGATATTTAAATATTATCAAAAGGAGGAGCTAAAGTATATGTACTATCAGGTTTGATTCTATGTGTTTCTTCACCTCCTTAAAAATACTCTTCTTGTGTTTTGATATCTTAAGTGAATTCTCCAGGTTTAGTTAGTTATGTTTTAAGTGAAATTACTTCATAGTCTGAAAAAAAAATCTAAGAATAATAATATATTTTTTTAATATTACTTTAATAGATTGTCCATAAAACATGATATCATTTAGAGATTCTTTAGCAATAGCAGCATGATCTTAAGTAACATATTATATGAGAGCACTAGATCTCTCCTTTAGGTATATCATTTAATATATTAATTTTCAATAGTACTTATTAATATACTTATAATTATAAAAAAATAGACTAAAATTCAAATCAATAGATTATTATTTTTTTAAAGCTCTCTACATGAATACTTAAATAGAAAATATGCAAAAAACAAAAATAACAACTATTCATGTAATAAATATCATTAATAAAATATACTGAAAAAAATCTTTTATTCTTAATCATTTTGTTTTGTTTGAATTTGATTATTTAATACAAGTATTATATTTTCCTCATGCAATTTTTGAATTATTTGGATATAGTAGATGCAGGACTGTCATTTTTGTGCTGTATTATTGATATATAGAAACTTGACATCAATATATCCATTGGGATGATATGTAGAATTATTTTTTTTATTGTCGCAATTATGTTGCGTGATCTTAACTACTACACTCTTGATGAACTTATAGCATAACTAGTTGGATGGTCTATTTTTCATATTTATATTATCTTTTTTGAATATCGATATTTTAAGCATGGTGAATCAGATATGATGTTTAGAGAAAAATATTATAAATTTATGGATACATGTTAATTAATAGTTGGAACAACATTCCTTGCTTATACTTTTGAGTCTATTATTGAAATATTAACTTTAGTTTATTTTTCAATTAATCTTGCTTTAAATTTATTTGAATTAATCCACCTTTTATGGTCTAAGAAATCTCAAGTAAGTAATTACAACAAAAGAAATGGGTTTTTATAAATGTATTTTGGTTTAATTTTAGGAATACTTGTAATTATATTTTTTCTAATCTACTTGGCAATAAAATATTAAGAAGATTTAGAAGAAGGACCTCTAATACCATTTTTATATCTTACCATTTTGGGGGAATTTTCAGGTCTTTGTCTATCTTTTTTTTTGTATTGTGTATATAGTTCCCACATTAATTGGTCAAATGATTTAACTAAAGGATCTTTGGGAATTCTTTATGGACTAACAGTTGGATTATTCAGTGTTTTTTATGGATTAGTTATTGGAATTGTAGTATTCTGTTATTTCGTATACTTGTGTTTATCTTGTTGTGGACTCACTGAAAAAAAAAAAAAAGTCCATCCAGAAAGTTAATAATGATTTTATATGCATTTATAAAAAATGTTAATTATAAATTTTAAATCATTTTTTTCAAATTTTACAATTTGATAAAATAATTCATTTAAATTTTTCAAAAATTAGAATTAGAAGTTCAGAAACAAATTATCAAATATATTACTCTTCAAAATTTACTACTATTCTTAATAAAAAATTCTAATTATTTCATCGAATCTATTTCATTGAAAATAAATGCATTAGGGTGAATGAATTATATCTATATTTATATTTATTAGCATTCACAATTCTCTATATGTCCTCTATATTCAAAACTACAATTAATCTTTATTTCATCTTTGTCATTTGATATAATTTTAAAAATCCAAAAATAACTGTATTTCTAAAGGTTTCTTTTTATCAATCTGACTTTATTAATAAATCACATCATATAAATTATTTTTATTTAATATTTAATTATTTAAAAAAAGAATTGGTTTAATTTATTCATTATGTTCTCTACTAGGAATATTAATATTATCTTCTATATTATTTTAGGTTAGTTTCACGAATAAATACATAAAGAAATCAAATCAAACAAAAGTTATTATATTCAAAACCAAGATTGGATAAAAAGAAAAAGAGTGCATAAATATTTGAATAATAGATTTAACAGTTTTATTTATAATTAACTGATATTTTGAATTAATGGTGCCATGAGATAAAAAGAGCTGATAATTAAAAAGTAAATAAGACCTTGATTATTTAAAAATTTAATGAAATAAATCATAACATTTTCTATTTTATAAATATTTTAAATATAATTATTTATTTAGTTTTTATAATAGTTATAGAAATATTATAAAAAAATTTGATAGAAATTGTATTGTTATTAAGTAAATGACGATTTAATTAACATTAATATTTTAATTCTTTTAACTTTCTATTAAATATAGTTTGATATGTTACTATATATCTGACTAGATCAATCCGTACAGTAATTTTGAACTTTGGTTACATCAAGTAAAGATGGTTTGGAGAAGCATGATATAAAATGTTAATCAAGCATAATCTATCTAGCAATTTATCTGATGTGAAGCTAACCGTATTTATTATCCTATTATTTTGAAACAACTCTCTATATAAGTCAATTTTTTATGCTTATTTAGCAATGTAAGCAAGTTTTATTTCAACTTATTTACAGATGAAGACTTTTTTACATGCAACCTTAGTAAATACTGGCTTTTAATACAGGCAGATTTATATTTAGGTAGATAATACCCTTTGAAAATTAGCCCTGTGTAAAGTGATTTCAATGAATCTACTTATTGATTTTTTTCCTCAATAGTGATTTCCTAAAAACTATAATGAAAAATATTTTCCATTTTTAAATGAGTTACTTGAGTTACAACTTATTATTCCATATGATAATGTTCTTTTTATTCCTTAAAATAATTCTTTAATTAAAAATAAAAATTTTGAGTTCAAAATAAAAATGTCATCATTGTCAAACACTACATATAATTATGATTGCTGTCTTTATATCACAATTTCAGATTGCTTGATTTTATACTCTAATTCTTAGATTTTCTTATCTAATAATTTCCTAGTTGCTTATTCTCTAGATAGCTCATACACCTCTTGCATTTTTTGTGATGGACTAGCATGATAAGTTTGTTAGCTACCATTATTTTTATAATGGTAACTCATTAATATTACTGTGGAAATAATATTAATTGTAAATGGATTGTATTTAATCAATAAAATTAATTAAATACTATTTGTATATTAATATAATAACAATATCCCCAATTTTCTATTAATAATCATAAGTTAATCCTTAACAATTGTAAATATATTACAGAAAATATTAAATGCTAATCAGCCACCCTTCAATCTCAATTTAACATCCAGAATATCATGATTTTTAAATCCCAATTGTTCTAAACTTCTAACTTCATTCTCTCTAAACTCTTGAAACTTTTTTAAAAATAATATTTCATGTAGAAATTGCTCTAATATATCATTAAATGCTTATTATTACTATCATTAACTGATGAAAATATCATTTGTTTAACTATTTGACAAAATTGGAAAAATGGAATTTATGGATTTATTTTAATGTCAGTATTATTCACATATATATCACTAGTAGTTCTAATTGTAATTGTAATAAATCCTGGTTAATTTTAAGGGTGAAGATTATCTTCTTCATATAAGCCAGACTTCATTATAACTATAATTATTATATAGATAAATAATTTTTTATTAAATATTTACAAATATCACACTAAAAGCTTTGAATACATATTCCTCATCTAAATCAATATCCTAAAGTACTTCTTTTTTTAAATAAAATATCCTAGAATATTATATACTGTTTCTTACTTTTTTAACCAATTTTTCTAAAATGTGATTTTAGTTGCTTAATTTTCTAAAATTTCAATACATACATACGTGATCCTTCATTAAATTTTGAAATGTCTGCATTGGTTTTGATATTTGATTTTATTCATTTATTCTATATTTCCCTCTACTTGGCACTACTCTTGGCTCAGCTGAAAAGTTCTATTGTGTTGGTTATACAGTTTAATATAAGATTACAATGATAATAAAAAAATTGTACAATAAATTATAAACATCATAAAAGCATACTAAACTATTATTCATATTTACAGAATTTAATCTATTATCAAAGATCTATATGAATTTAAATAAATCAATGATTGAAATATTTTCTTGAAAAATGACAAATTGATTTTTTAGATTTTGTTTACATTATAATTTTTTAAGTTTTATGAATATACAATTCATTACAATTTTGTAAATTGTAAATTTGAATTCTATGATCTGGCCTTCCTAATTCTGAACATGTCATAAGACAGACCTTTTAGAACATTAATGCTTGCGTATTTTAACTATATTAATCTCGTTAAACTCTAATCACAAGATGATCTCTTGTTAATTGGACAAAAAATAAACTTAAATGATTAACTTTATAAATTCTATTGAAATATAAAATAATTGACAATCAAATATTTAAGAACCAATAATCAAAATCTACTTTTATCTATTAATAAGTATTTAAAATTTGAATGAAAAGTTTTTTAGAATAATAAAATAAAATATTGAGAATAAGTTTACTTTAAAAAATTATAATTTTTTATTTTAAGATTTCGTGTTTAACTTATATATATTTATTTACATAAACTTGTTTTGATATTGTAAATAATTATCATTATTAATTAAAAATGTTACTTGATAACATTAAAGTAATTAGTATTGATTTTTATAGGTTGCCATTCGAATAAGGCCTTTCAACAAACGAGAACTTGAAACTTCAGACAATAGTACTCTCAAAGTTATAGATTAAGAGACTTTAATAGCAATTCCTCCAGTAGAGGCAGAAGCTAAGTAGGGCAAAAAGACCTATAAATTCAATTGGATTTTTGATAAAATAGCTTCTCAAAAAGATATATTTGAAAAGACTCTTGAATATTAAGTACTTTCTGTGTTGGATGGAATAAATGTTACACTCTTTAGTTACGGTGCTTCTGGGACAGGAAAGACTCATACGTAAATATTTATAGTATATTAAGACTTATGAAATTGAATGAGGATCATGGATTACTAATAAGAGCTCTAAATCAAATATTTTAAACTATACACAATAAAAAAAGGAAAATATAGATGAAATTTTCATATTTAGAATTCTAATAAGAGTAACTCTATGATCTACTAAATAATATGAATAGTAACCTTGATATTAGAGATGATGTAGAGAAAGGAGTAATTATAAATGGAATGAGAGAAATTGATATTGCCAGCACTTAAGAAGTGATAAATTTAATATAGTATGGAAAAAGACAAAAGTCAACAAAATAACATGAAATTCTAATTTTTACTAACTACATTCAAGATATTATAGGTTAAAATAATGAAATTTAAGTTTCTAAATTTATTGTCGCTGATTTAGCTTGGTTTGATAAAAGTGGACAAAAGTCGGCATCTTTATAAGTACTTAATGATTGCATTTCATTATTAAGTGAAGCATAGAATAAAAAGATTTAACCATTTATACCATATAGAAATAGCAAATTAACTAAAATACTTAAAGACTCTTTTGGTGGAAATTCAAAAACTCTAATTATTGGTTGTGTTTCTCCTTCAATAATGAATTATGAAGAGACTATACAAACACTTGAATATTGTTCATTGGCTACAGGAATTTATAATCAAGGTTCCATCAAGAATCTATAATAAAGTACTCATTAGGATAATTTTAAATAAGTCTATGATTAATTAATAAATGAGAATGTTGAATTAAAGAAATTATTAAATAATAATAATAAATCAAGTTAAAAACCAATAAATAATGATAAAGAATAAACCAAATTATATGAAGAAAATATTTTAGAACATTTTAATAATGAATAAGATATTAATTAATCTATTTTTAAGTATTAATGGGAAATAGAATAGATTAAATTTACTATAAATGAAAATTAAGAAAACCTCTAAAGAATTGATGGAATAGATAGAAAAGCAGCAGATTCCTTAAGATATTAAATTGAGTAAGATTAAAAATAATTACATAATTATTAGGAATAATTAATCAAATTTTAAAAATAAACAAGTAATTTTATAATCTAAAGAAGGGCATTAGAGGAAGTAATATTATTTAATTAAATTTAGAATGTTAATTAGAGTAATTTATAAAATTCATATAAATTATATTTAATTAATCTAATTGAAAAACATATTTTAAGATTGGAAGTATATGAAATAAAACTTAAAGAATAAATAAATGAATTACATAGATAATAACATGAAAGAATTATGGCTATTTAAAGAAGTTAAATTAATTTAAGAGATAGAATTATTGCAGATCAAAGAAAACATATCATATAACATGGTAAAAATCAATCTGTACAACATTATTCCTAAATTGATACAACAACTGAAGTGATAGATGGAACAAAGGCAAAACTCAAACATTATCCATTGCCAAAAGTCAAAGGTATTTTAACTATTTTCAATCTAGATCATTATTTTAATAGAGAAGCTTATTTGTAAAGAAAAGAATCACCAAAATCAATCTTTAGTCCAAGGCTTTAAACTCCTTTATAATTAAAAGATATAAAACCCTATGTTCCTAAAACACCTCACACAAATATACTTGAGAATCTCTCTACACCAATTCTACCAAAATCAAATCCATTTTAAAAAGCACCTCCATAAAAAATAATTGATTCATAGTCTATGGTAGCTTTACCATTAATAACAACTAATAGAAATTTATCAAAATTTGTTTATGACTGGAGAGGAGGTGGTTATAAATTCATTGAAGATCAAAAAAAAATACCATCATAAAGAGAACTTAAACATATTATTTAATCAAAATAACATACTTAGTAAAGTCTTGACAAATCATTTTTTACTACTTCTAGTCGAAGTAAATAAATATTAAAATTATGAGGTACTTCTGCAAAAAGAGTTTCTTTTAAACAAAATTTATTACTTCCAGGAAAAGTACATGAATCCCCTTATGTAAAAGAATTTATTAATAAAGAAATACAAAGAAAAATTAAATTAAAATAATTGAATTAAAAAATGATGAAAGTAACTTAAAAAAAATGATTTATCTTATATATCTTGTTTATATCTTACAATTATTATTCAAAATCTATATTGTCCTGGTATATTTGCCACAGGATTAACTCTCATTTAGTTAAATTAATTAGGACTGTATTGATATGGTGATTATTTAAATTGTTACTATTATATTCTAGGTGTTTAATATTATTATTATTAATAGTTTTAGGGTTGTTATTATTATTAAATTGTATTATCATAAGATGCATATCTAAAAAATATAGAAGATATTACTGCATAATATTAGTCAATAAAAATAATGAAAGGATTAAAAATATAAATCCAACAATAGAAGTTGTTATGATAGTATTATTATTCAAATGAATAGAATCAGCTTTAACTTGATATGATGGAGAAATACTGATAGTATTTTCATCTTGATCAAATAGAACATAATTATTTCTATACTTATTATATTTATTTACTTAAAGAAAGTATATGGTATAATGATAATAGGTTTATCTGATGATTATTAAATTAAAGGATTATTCACTTATAATGATCTGATTAAAAGATAGCATTTTTAATCATCTCTATGTATATAATCTGATTTCGATAATGTATACTTTATATTATCTAGATTAAAAGTGAAATTAATATCATTGAATTTATCATATTGTTCATCATTACATGAACATTTTAAGATATCTTCACTCATAGCACAATCCTAATGTAAGTAGTTTAATTACAAGATGAAACTTTTTTAATTCTTCCTCAAACTTTTCTATTATTGTCTTTTCTGCCCATATAAATCTTGTTGTACTATCAAATATAGCAGTACCTCCAGCTAAAACTTTATTTATTTAATACTTAAAAATACTGATTCATCTCCAAAGTATAATTTATTTATTTTTAATGCCCAGACTTTTTTACCAATATTTGAAAATTTCTCAAATTTAGATTTTGCAAAATATCCCTATTTTTCACCTAAAATAAGTAATTATAATGAATCTTCTAATTTAATAGCAAAAGTAGCAAATGGAACATTTATCAATTAAGTATGCATTCTTATGTAATTTTTAATAATATTACTATTAAAGTATACTGTGTTAAGGTTCTAAAGCAGAATCAAAGTGAAACTCTCCAACTTATGCATTTTTTTTCTTTTTATAATCAATATAATCTTAACCATAAGCCAATCCCAATGTCCCATCCTTAGAGGTAGTACTATATTCTGTATTGTATTTATCTATGAGTCCAAAACCTACTTTCTTAACTGTCATCCCTAAAAATTCAATTGAATCCTTATTCTTATAAAATTGTATACTTAAATTGCATATAATCCATTGACTTTTACTCTTCCTCCATAAGTATTTTCAGATGTTAAGGGTATGTTTTGATCATCGTCTTTGCTTGTTTGATAGGAGCAACTTGTTTCACACTTGAATAATTTTGCATCAACAGGACATTTATCACATTTTTTATCATCTGGGTTTTTACTAAATACCCAGGTAATATAAGATGTAGTATCAATTGACTATTATACTTATTCTGAACCAAAAGTTAGTGGAATCTGGTAAAATTAAAATTTATGCTACTGTTAAAGTATAATCATCTAAATATTATTTTGAATCATCAGGTGTTGCTTTTAATTTATTCTTATCAACATTTGAATAGGTTAAATGATTCCTTGATCTTCTTTCTGTTTATAACTTCTGAATTTAGATTCTAAATTCTTTAGTTGAGATATTGATGAATAGAATGCAAATTAATATTAGATTCATGAATAAAAATTATATTACTCAAGTAATAATAATTAAACCACTTGATATAATCTATGATAAAATAAAGAATAATTTATTATTATTTTTAGTAATCTCAATATTTTCAATGAATAAAAACATTATGATTTGAGTAAATAAAATGAAACAATATATTTATAAAATTTCAAGATTTAGTTCTTTTTTCATCTTTTATGGCTTAAATTCTCCAACTTTCAGAGAATTCATTTAATTTGTGCATAAACTCTTAATGAAAGCCTGTAGAACCTTAATTTTCAGATATTTTAAGCTTTGACTATTTATTTTATAGTATTTATGATGATTATGATTTATTATTTTATTATTTGATTTAGGTTGATTAGAATTTTTATTATAAATTGGATAGATCTAATTTAAGTTTTACATTATTTGTTTTTTTATCGAGATTATTATTGCATTTGTACTAATATTATCGAAGGCTATCTAAGATGGAATCATTTTCTAATCTATTTAGAAAGCAAAAACTAGATTCATCAGAGTCATTAACAACAGAATTATCAGCATCATGTTCATTTTTTTCAAAATAATAATGTTTAACTCCATGATATTTATCATTTGGTTCAACTGCACTGTCATCATTAAGTACTTCTTCATTATATATTTTTTCAATATCGATTCCACTTCTTTTAATTGCTAAAACTAATTTGATTAATTTTGCTTCTTTTTCATTCATTTCTTATAATTTAATTTACATTGCATTTTGCATTTGTTACAATTAACCAGTATCCATACTATCAATTTAATTTGTATTTGTTGATTATTTAGGTGATTTAAGTTGATTAAGTGTTTAAATTAATATATCTCTTTCTTTTTCTATCAATTTACAATTATTTAAACATAATTCTTTTTCTTGATTGATTTTTTCAATAATTTCATTGAATTTAGATTCTTAATCACATAAGATCTCAATTGATATATTATTCATCATTTCAAATAAATTATTTATAATTCTAACAGATATATCATTAAATGAAGTAGATTGAATGAATTAATGTTTATATACATTTAATAGATTGCATTATTTTAGTAATAATTCTTTATAAATTTCCCATTTGGTATGATATTTTTTCTTAATGATAATTGATTAGATTTAAGTATTAAGATTATGTAATTCTTGATTTATCTAGATAGGTTTCCTTTATCCTGGACTTTAAGAATCATTAGTGAGATGGGTATTTAGATTCTATTTAGATCTAAATAATGAAATTTGGATTACAATTGCTAAAGAACATTGGTTGAAAACAAATGACTATCACCAACAATTTTTCTTAATTTTAAACCATTTTCAGAAGTTTAAAGTGAATCATCTTCATTTTATATAGTGGCAATTACACGACTTTTGGAGTTACTATTAGTACGATTATTAGTGTTTTCTGAGATATTGTTTTTATGTTATTTATAACGTTTCTCTTCAATTGATTTGGAAGTTGGCACAGTTTATTTAATAGTCAAACGCTATTGTTGAAATTTGGGAGCAATATGAAAGAAATTGTTTTATTCAGAAGAAATGTTAGGTTAAGATGATTATTTAGGAATCACAACCTTAACGAAAGGCTCTTTGATAGTGATTGGAGCTACTCGTTGCATTTCTGATAATTTAATTAAATATTCATTCTAATAGAGGTGGTAACTCTGAACGGCATGTGGGACACTGCATTTTAATATCAATCCAACTACGTAGACAAGATGGATGGAACCAATGATTACAAGGGGTTTGCATGGCTTATTTGATTACTAATTTTTAAGTAAGTGCTTGTGTATCAAATGGATCTTCCATCAATGAAGTTAAGCATATTGCACATTCTTCCTAGAAAATAAGATTAGATTTTCAATACATGATCTTCTTATATATTAAGTGTTCTGTAATAATTGTATTGTTTTGGTAAGAAACATTTTGGAATAAAAGATCTTGGACCTAATTTGAATTGGATATATAGGATAATTATCTAGAGCAAGTATTCACTCAAATAGATCATACAAAATGCTAAAGAAGGTTCAAGACCACGTAAATTACTTGGACATCCTCTATTGTAAATCTAAAATATTATAATGAAATACTTGATAAATCATACTTGGTACTAAAATACCAAAAACAAAATAAGAGATGAATCTAGGGTTATTACCAAGTCTAATGTTATGAATTATTTATGGAAGTAGACATAAACCAGTTAAACAAATAAACCAATTATAAGTGAAAAAGAAGTACATCAATATAAAATATAAGATGAGGCTAAAATCTAAAGTAAGTTAGAGATTATTACAAAATTATGCAAAAAAGTAAGTAATAGCCCTTCTCATTCTTTATTAATCAAATAGATCTTCTAAATGTCGACTTCTCCAAACTATCCATATTAATTTCATATCACAGGTGGTTGCCAATAAGAAGTAAAAGAATGCAGGTAAAATGAAGTATTAGAAGTATTGCTAGGATTGATAAAATTTATTACATAATTAATCAATGCTTCATAGAGATTTTACAAACATATATAGGAATCTTGTATAGTCAAATAGCCCACAGCAAAAAGTGAGATCTAATATAAGTTTTAGACATTTACTTTGTTTGGGTCTTCCTCATTCTCAAGTAAAGCTTTACAAAGTTTTGTGACGCATAAGAATTACGTAAAACATATCATCACAGACATTGCACAATACATAATAATGACTAATAAATTGTTTGTGGTGTCAAGCATCAAATCCATTAATATATCAACATCACAAGGAGTATCCATAGTATTATTATGAGTCTTCATATGTACTTGGATCTTAGCATGTTCCTTATCATATTTTTCTTCTTAAAATTCAATGTTGACAGTATATGCTATTTCACATTTATCTTTTGAATAATAGTTTCTTCTGAATTTGTAGGCTGTTGTGTAGTTCAAAATACTAATGTTCTCGAATGAACTAAAATTAAATCACTTATTACATGTCACTGTCAGAGTAATTTGTCAATTTAAATATACCAATAACTTGCCTTAATTCTTAGTATTTTGGATTCAATAATTGAAACTCAAATCGATCGATCACTCCATTATTATCTGATTAAGTATTGTTTGGTAAGAATATCATATAAGCATCTCCTTATTCAACTGTTAAATATTGAAATTATTATTCTTTTTTCTAAGATGTCCATAGTCCTTTATATTCGAAACCATAGAGTATGTTTGACAAGTCACTAATATTTTTTGGACGTTCACTTAATCCAATTACTAATTAGAACAAAAAAATGCACAACATTATAAAAATTATTTATAATCTAATCTTACTTTTTTCACACATATATAATTTAAATTTCAAATAAATGAAAACACTCTCTGAAAACAAGACTTTTGTTTAACATATTAAATAAAGACAAGATGATTTCAAAGTATATTCATATTCATATTCAAGAAAACCCTATAACTTCCTACCAAAAAAGATCCTCCTCTCCTCCAATAAAATAATTTCAATTCACTTACTTCTCCAAATCAACGTAGAGAATAAACTCCAAATTAGAGAAAAGCTAAAATTGAAAGTATATATATATTCTAAATAGGTGAAAATTCATGCTCTCCAACTCTTTTTCGTACTCCACAAATTAGCTTACATTATGAATACAATAAGAAAGGCCATTAAAGATAACCTAGTAACAATAGAAGTCGTAATGAAAATATATCCACTGTCAAAGAAAGAAGAGAACATAATGCTGATTCTGTTACTAGAGATTACTCTAGAGTTTTAGAAGAAGTTATGAAAAAATATCGTTTACTTAAAACAGAATTACTTACCAAAGATAAAGAAGTACAAAAAACACAATTTTATAAAGAAGAATGGCTCAAAGAAAAGGTATTCATTCTTTATAATAAGAAACGTAACGAATTTCTTTAGGAAAGAAATAAGAATTTGAAATTGAAATTACTCAAAATCATAGAATTAGTATAATAAGATTAATTATAAACTAATGATGAATCGGAGGTACTTTAATATTTGTATCATGATAGTTAATAGGGTATAATAGCTAGTCTTTAGACTGAAAATAAATATTTACGTTAAATGTTGCATCTATATGATGTTACTGATGTTTCAGAATAACTTTAATAACTTGAAAGTGAGTAAGATCATGAAGTTGACTATATTGATAATATACTCAACGTATTTTTAGGTGATCTTAGAACTATTTAAAAAAACAGAAAAGAAAAAAAGGAAAGTTAATAATTAGGTATTAATTTACAATTATATTATTAGGATAATTTAATTCACTATCCTTGACAGTACTGAATAAAGAATCTAGTTTTGTTGATTTATCAGAAGATAAATTATTAATTGAATAATAATGAAATATTAAATAAACAAGCTCAATTTAAATCCTAGTTTTTCCTTTCATTTTTTGTTGTGTATTTTAATATTGATTTTAATTTATTATTTACTTTTTTTGTATTTTACAATAGTTACATACATACATATTATTTTTCTATAAGTCAAATCTTTGAAAGAATATTAAACTATCTTATATAATTATCATTTTATTAATATTAATAAATTATTTATCCTATTCACAATTATAACTATATAAATAAGTAACTATAATATTAATTTAAGTTTATTATGTATAACCGTATTTAAATTTCTTGTAGAAATCCTATTTTATATAATATTATTAATATATATATATTTATCATTATTATAATAAGTATGGCAAAGTATTATATTTTAATTTTGATTTATAATGTTTATAGGTAGGAGTTCTTTATTTTTATTATGTGAATGGCCTAACTGGTAATGTTTTATGTGGAGATTAGCAATTTTAAATTGTCATAACTCTTTATCTTGGTCTATTTATTTTGATTGTATGTTTTTATTTAATTTATTTTAATAATATTCCTAATCAATATAATATATTTATATACCCTCATATTTAGTAAATGAATCAATATTTTAAAATAATTAATTATATTATATATTTGAACCTTTATGTATCTCTTTGA